TTGTCTGGTCTGGCCCAAAGCAGATCCCCAAATGAGCAGCTCAGCTCTTACCCTGTCCCAGTGCAAGGCTCAGCCTTTCATCAGTCCCTGGCAATTTCTCCATCCCTTCTTCACAGCAGCTTGTGATGCTTCCACAGCTGGGAAATCCTTGGAAACCTGTGATTGAAAATTAGTGTTGAAGCATCAAATTTGCTTTATTCCTTTTACAGTTGGACTTGATGATCCTAAAGGTCTTTTCCAACCCTAACAATTCTAAAGTAAGAAGGTGGCTTTTTGTGCACCAGTGCTCTCCATGCCCTCAGCACCATTAGAACCATTTTCATTTATAAGATATACAATATATATAATGGTCCTGGAGGTGGCCCCAGCTCCTGGCAGAGGGCAGCCTGGCACCACTGGCAGGTCCAGCAGCTCCCTGGTGTGCCAGGGCACAGGCCAGGCTCCAAAAGGAGCCACCAGTGATGTCACAGGACGTGGAGGGGACAATCCAGTGCCAGCAGCCCCAGGAGGGATCTTGGTTTGCTGAGGCTCCTCCTGCCACCGGCGCTGTCAGACACAACAGAAGAGACAGGCTGCTCATGAGGTGTAATTAAGGTGTCATTAATTAGAGAGAGATAAGTGGCCCCTGATCTGAAGCTGACAAGGACAGAAGGGGTTTGGTGGCTGCATCGCTCCCCTGCCCACCCCGGGGTCTCTCAGCAAACACTCCCCAAGCAGCACTTTTGGGGCTTTTTGGGTTTCTGTGACATTTGAATTCCCTTTAGACATTTCTGGTGTCCAAAAAGGGTTGGGCAAAACTGTGGGACCTGGTGCTGGCTGAGAGCAGGAGCTCATGGAAGCTTTTCCCTTTTTCCTGCTGGCTGCCCTGGGGATGTGGCAGTCCTGGGCTGGCCAGGATTGCTTCCACATGGGACCCTCCTCTGGACTTGAGTCCCTTATTCTGTTATTCTTTTATTACCACAAACATCTAGAATATTGTTAAACATGTGAGAAAGGACTTATTAGAATTATTAACCAGTGGGTGACTCAGATGGTTATGAACATTAGATATTTCTGCACTCACTGGATTTTTAAGTCAAGATCCATTTTGTTTTTCAGTTACTGGAAGATTTGTTGTCCAACTCCACTCTGAAAATAAAGATATTAGAAGCTTATTCTTTCAGAACTCGTTCTGAAGACATTAATGAGTTTTCCTGAGGGTTTACGTGACTTTCTCATGGAATTCCCTACAAGAACAAAATGATGTAGGCAAATCCAAAATCCTACTAAAACATAAAATGCCTTTTGTCCCCTCGTGTGTGGTGGCTTCTGGGGGGAGGTGAAGGAAACGCTGCCCTGCCTCTGGGTGCACATCAGAAAAAGGACCAGAAAAGGTCCAGTTGTGGATCCTGGATCCTGCAGGGAGCTCACAAGGCCAGCAGGTATCCAGGCAGGCACATCCCAGCCTGTGACACGCCACAGGAGCAGTCTGCCTTACGATTTCCTTCTGCCCCAGCGCAAATCCCTAACGCAGGGCTCGGCTGGATTGCTCTGTGCCAGGACAGGAGGGGCACTGGGTGCCTGCACAGCTGCCCAGGGCCCTTCCCTGGAGCTGCCCCGTGCTGCACACGGAGCACAAGAGCTGAGGGAAAGGTGCCACAGCTCACAGCCAGCCACTGGAGCAGCTCCAGCATGGAGCACTGCCAGGGCTGGCACCTGGCAGAGCCCAGGGCACAGGAGCCTCTGGCAGCACCCAGCCCACTCCCAGCTCAGCAGCCGAGGTGTTTGACCTGGATCTGTCACCAGGGATCTCCCTGCACCGCTGGAAGTGCTGGTGACAAGGCCAGCAGCAGCAGCAGTGCAGTCATGGTCCTTGGAAAATTCCATAAATCTCAGGAAGATTTGTCTGTTAGGAGTGGCATGAAAGGGGAGAGCAGTCAACTGCAGGAACGTCTGCTCAGGAGAGAGTGAAGGAGCTCGTGTCCAAGCACCAAAACCTGTCAGGGTGCACATCTGTGCTGCTTTGAAGGTGGTCTTGATTGAGCCAGAGAGATGCTGTGGCCAGAGCAGGGGTCTGGGAATGGGGAGAGCTGGGTTTTATTTGGCTGCTTTCCCTCCACAGGTTTTATCCAAGTAGATCCTGTGCCCAGATATCTGCAGGGTCTTTGAGTTCACCGTGTCAGGCTTCCCTTCCCCTTGTCCTGCAGAAATTGTTTGTCTATTAAAAAGACAATTTGAAACTGTATTACAGACTAAAAAGAGGATGAGAAACTTCTATCCTTAACTCTCCTGACTGTGGTGTTTGGGCCAGGGTCCCTCTCCTTTCTGTGGTAATTAACTGAAATCGTGATTAGCATTATCTCAGATAAGCCATCTTTAACATCTGCTCTTCTGAGACCCCGTCTGTGCACGGGGGTGTTTGAGGAGTGCCTGGCTCTAATCCTTCCCCAAATTCATCTGGGGACACCATTTCTGTGTGATGGCATCACTGGCCCTGGCCCAGGGCAGACTGGGCACTGCAGAGGTAACAGAAAGCCTGAGTGCCACCTCCAGGGGCTCCCACACTGTCACCAGGGATGCAGAACACCCTCGGTGTGCCACCCTGGGGACAGGCAGCACCAGCTCACCCTGCTCCACACACGTGCTGCCACACAGGGCACCTTAAAACAAATGGTTCTCCATCATGGATCCGGTGGAAATCTGGTGAACAGAGCAGATTCCTGGGAGCTGGTACCGAGTGGGAGTGGGCAGAGAGCCCTGGAGAGGGCACAAGGCAGGGCTGGGGAGGAGCAGACAGGCTGGAACACCCTGCAGCGCTGCCACCATTTCCTCCAGCTACCTTCCCTCCAAGATCAGCTCTGCTGCACTTACTCTTGGCAACCAAAACAGCTGCATCTCTCTCCTTAAAATAAAAAACAACAAAAAAACTCAGTGGAATCAAAGTCTCCCTGCAAATGTAACACACAGCCGATACAGAACTGATGATTTTGCTAAACTCTGACTTGCAGCAAATACTTTTTATATCATGACACTGGATTCTGATGCACAAAAGAAAATCAAGTTCTTTTCCCTCTGCACGCACCATAGTTGTCAGAATCATTGCTTCTCTTTGTTTTTTACACACAGTAACTAGGAAGAGATGCTTTATAAACCCTCTTGTTCCTCCAGTCAGGATGTCAACGAGCTATGAATAATGAAATAAAAAAAAAAAAAAAAATCCAAATGAATGGCTAAGACCCAGCAGAGAATTTTAACTGGGGAAGAGCAGCAGCATAAGGGCTGCATGACAATAATGATCATTACTGCTAATAAAGCATTTCTTCCTGCTGGTGTGGTGCAGGGCACGAAGGGGGCCGGATGCGGTGCCGGACCCGGCATGTGCCGTCCTGCCCACGCTGCGGCCCCGGCCCGCCCTCCCACTGATCCCGGGAGAACTGGCACTCCTCCAGCCACGAATGCCAAGGGATCCATCAAAGCAACATTTACAAACGCGAGAGTGGACTCTGGTGGCATTTTCCAGGGGGTAAAAATGGGCTTCCCTTTCTTCTTCCAAGAATGCGGAATCAGTTCTTGCTGCGATTTTTGCGGTGCCGTGCTCGTTTGAGGGGAGATGTGCTCTCGCAGAAGTGCACACACGTTGACACACACTCTTCTCGTGCATTATTTGGTTGTAGCTGGATGCAGTTTTTTTCCTTTTTCCCACTGCTGTGATAGAATCAAATCAAAAGTCATAGAATCACAGAATCATTTAGGTTGGAAAAGACCTTTAGGATCATCGAGCCCAGCTGTTAAACCAGCGCTGCCAAGTCCAAATCTTTCACGCTGTTGGAGAAGGTTAATTTATTTGTTGAACACAAACAACTGGCAATGCCTTAAGCTGTTCACTACTTCCTTTTTCTTGATACCAGCAGCTTTTCCCCTCCTGCGACCAAAGCTTTACTCACCCCTTCTTTCAACTGATCTCCAGCATTATATTATTTATGAATAAAGGTCACCCCGTGAGGAAATGGCACATCTACTAGAAAACAATGTGCACTTTCTAAATTTGAACCGAGTCGTTTCCGTTCTTTGATTTAAGTTTAGTTACTTCCTGTGGTTTCTTGTCCTACGCCACTGCTGAATCTTTGGATTGACTCCAGGATAAATTGCACTCTTTCAATGAAATTAGAAACTGCGGCACTGACGGCTCAGCCAGAGCGGCTGGTAAACAGCACTTCAGCTGAATATTGGTGCACTTAGGGGGCTGCACGAGCCTCTCGTCACCCGTGGGAGGTGATGATCCACCCTGAGCCCTGTGGGTGCTCTCCTGAAACTGCACCCTTGGCTCCCACCCTGGTTTGCCCCCAGACGAGGTGCTGAGCAAGCACTTCCACCTCCCCTGGGAGGGATAAAGGAGCCTGTGGAACCAGCGGCTGCTGATGGAGAGGGGACACTTCCTCACCAAAATCAATCCATCCTCCCACAGGCAGATCCTTGCTTAGCAAGAACAGGTGCTCAGCCCCGTGCTCAAAAGCACCTTTGTACCAGAGCAATGCTTCCACAAGCCACAATCCTGCATCAGGTTTTTTAGGGATCAGGGTCAGCTGGGGAAAAGGCCCAAACATTAGAGAAATCATTTCAGGAAATTTGCTGACAAAACCACATGTAAATGTACACCAGTAGCCCCAAGATGTGCTTTCCCTCAGCAAAACCATGAGTGAGCTCTTCAGGAGCCTGCAGTGACTGCAGCCCTTCCAGGGCTGGAGGAGCCATGGATGGCTCCAAGGTCAGGGAGAGGGACACGGTAGCGAAGGAGGAGTGAGGCACTTTGTACCTGAGTGCTCTGCCTCCCTTGGACACAAGTTTACCTTACCAGACCTTCAGCACAACAACCAGCCTCAGCAAGGAGCCCTTTGGGGCTGGGATTGGAGGACATACCACGATAACAATGTGCTCTCTCTCTCTCCCCTATCCCTTTTCTTTCTCCTTCCCTTCTCCCAGGACCCTTAAGCACAGATTTTCCCCCAGCAGTCAGACTGATTTCTCCATGGAGCCGCGGATCCCTCACAACATCACCGTTGTCCCCAACTCTGTGATGGTGCAGCCCTTGCTGGACAGTCGGATCCCCTACGGGCGGCTGCAGCACCCGCTGACCATCCTGCCCATCGACCAGATGAAAACCACCCACCTGGAGAACGACTACACCGACAACCCCGGCGCCTCCCAGCCGCCGGCCCCGAAGCGTCCCCGGGCCCCCCACGAGCCGGGCTTGGCCGGCCAGCACCCGCAGCGCTGTGAGCAGGATGTCACCCACCCCTGGATCTCCTTCAGCGGGCGCCCCAGCTCCATCAGCAGCAGCAGCAGCACGTCCTCAGACCAAAGGCTCCTGGACCACATGGCCCCGGTGCCCGTGGCGGAGCAGTCGTCGCCCCGCGCCGTCCGCATCCAGCCCAAGGCGATCAACTGCAAACCCCTGGACCTGAAGGGCCCCGTGTCCCAGGAGCTGGACAAGCACTTCCTGCTGTGCGAGGCCTGTGGGAAATGCAAGTGCAAGGAGTGTGCCCTGCCCCGGACGCTGCCCTCGTGCTGGGTGTGCAACCAGGAGTGTCTGTGCTCGGCGCAGAACCTGGTCAACTACTCCACCTGCATGTGCCTGGTCAAGGGCGTCTTCTACCACTGCACCAACGAGGACGACGAGGGCACGTGCGCCGACCACCCCTGCTCCTGCTCCCACTCCAACTGCTGCGCCCGCTGGTCCTTCATGAGCGCCCTGTCCCTGGTGCTGCCCTGCCTGCTCTGCTACCTGCCAGCCACCGGCTGCGTCAAGCTGTCCCAGAGATGCTACGACCAAGTGAGCCGGCCCGGATGCAGATGCAAAAACACAAACAGTGTCATTTGCAAGGCGTTGCCCGAGAGCAAAGGGGCAGAAAAGCCCTTTTAAGGGTTTGGGAGGATGGAGTTGGGAGGATGCTCCGTGGAGCAGGGTGGTGTTGGCTCTTTTTGATAACCTGTGTTCCGAGGAGAGCGTCAGCCTCTTGCCTTTGGAGAAAGAGGAAGCAACTATTTCAACAAACTGAAGCACTTTGGGTTATTCAGGGTTTTTGGAACTGGTCGCAGTTTAAATAGATGGGGCCAAAGGAGGAATGTTAATAATGCAGAGTGAAGGCTGCAAACCCATGTACATCATGAAGTACAGCTGCTGAAAAACTCCCAGCTTGGAGGGACGGCTGCTCACCAGGCCTGCACACCACAGGAACCATTAACTGCTCGCTTGGCAGGCACTGCCTCACAACCAATCCCCATTCCCAGCTGCAAAAAGCTGCTTTGAATTCAGATTCAGGGCGGGCTACTTGCTTCCTGTCTCCTTCCAAGCCCCAGCTCGCTCCCAGCAGCCTGTTGAAGGTGATGGGGGAACTCCCTCCTCCCTCCTAGACACCACTCCAAGGGCTGGTTGCACACAAAGTACGTGTTTCTCAAAGGCTTTCCGTATCCCTCAAAGATTTGTGGACCAGAAGTGAAGCTGCATTTCATTTGTTGAAGGGTCTTTGCCCTTTGGGCATTTCCCACCCGGCCTCACTGGTTTGGATCCTCTTTCTAAAGCAAGATGGTAGCAGGGCTGCTCCTCCCAGCAGGAATGGCAGCAGGATGTGCTCGGGCAGCGGTATCAACGCCGGCTCCTCCTGCCTGTGAGCTGATCCGTGGCACCAGGTTTCACTCAATGGAATATGATTTTCCCTCAGCAGAGCAGCCCCTCTGCAGGAGGAAGGTGGCTGATCCCGGCTGCCCCCGGCCCAGAGCAGAGGGGATGTAACTCAAACCTCAGAGCCAAGACGGGCAGGGTTTGTTCCTCTAAACCTCTGGTAAGAAGTCACACAAACCGAAGTGTACGATGCACATAGATGTATTTTTCTAGGGATCTCAATCCAGTACCTCCCCTCCTGGAACAAGCTCTTCTTTGCTCATTAGATATTAAGATTTGTTTTTGTCTTGGGGGTGAATGGCATTTGCTTGAAGTACAGCACATTCCCCCACCCCTATTGCTGCTGATTGACTTTTGCCTCTTCTGTACAAAAGTGTCTTTTTAAATGTAAAGAATGCTTTTAGTGTTTATTTTAGTGTTAACACACACTAGGGAAAGCCAGGGGAAGGAAGTTAACGAATGGGCCCGTGGTTTTCAGTACAAAAATACTGGCTCTGTCCATGCCCTCATCCTGGGGCTGCTTCTGCCTCCCCCAAGCATGCTGTGACCCCTCTCTCTTGACAACTACAAGGTGCTAAACAAGAATCTTAGTCCAAACATGCAACACTCTAATGAGTAGGTAGGTACTTGTTGCATGCAGAAAGCTGACCTAGTCTCTCTTGGTGTTTTTAATTAGAGGAGATTTCCTCAGTAAATGCACAGCAGTGACAGTGAAATGTCATCTCTAATTAGATAAGCAATAGGCAGAGCTCATGTAGCATTTCCAGGAATCCCGTTGGCCTGGCCACGGGGAGGGGCTGGCAGGAGCACCCTGGTGGGACTCTGGTGTCTCTGGGTTGCAGAATTCAGCTCAGCTGGATGGCTTGGGGTTTAGCTCAATGGAATTGTAGATATTTATTGAATGGGGGAGTTTAAAAAAAAAAAGAAAACCAACCAACTTTTCTATTTATAACATTGCTAGCTTGTACATGCTGAATCATAGAAAAAAGGAAGCAATGTCTGTTACCAGACACCAGTTCCTACAGGGTAGCCTCATGCTAACTGTATGTGGGCACCAGGAAGCAGGTGGGGATCCAGAGCTGTATTTATTATCTTGCACAAATTGGAGGGGAAAAGATAAAAGGAAAACCAACCCCAGACTAGCTGAACTGTTGGTTGAATGTATAAGATATTGTATTTAATAAGAGAAATCATTGTCCTAAGATACAAGCACGCTAGAAAAGGCCAGCAGGAGAGGTATTTACCTGCTGCCCTCCTCTGCTGGGACCACACGTGTCCAAATGGCCTCCACCCACGGCTGCTTTGCCTTTCTGCCCCTCTGTCCCTGGCTGCTCCTGGGGAACCTGTGCTGCAAACCTGCACTGGCAGAGCCCAAGGCTTGGCTGCATGTCCCCATGAGCAAAGGCACCGCTGGAATGGTGGCCCCTGTGCCAATCTACACTCATGTACATACTCCCAGCACTCCAGCCGGGGTTCCTCTCATTGTACATAGCTGTAAACTTATTTCTCTGTTGGTTTGTTTGAATATCTAAGCCCTGTGAGCCGACGATGCCGTGCTGGAGCCTGCCCAGCCTTGTGGATGTGTTAGAGCAGTGGTCAGTGTAGCAGAGTGCCCCTCCGTCCTCCCCGCGGCTCCCAGCACGGTCCCTGGACTCTGCTCCAGCATTCCCAGCCCAGGGCATGGCAGGAAGGTGCTGAGCCCTGGCTGGAGCTGGGGAAGGGCCGGGCTTGGCCTGGGCCAGGGCTCTGCCAGGGGGAACAGCTCCCGTCAGTAACGCCGGCACTCCCGCTCCCCATCCCAACAATTCCATCCTCCCCCTCCCCATCCCAACAATTCCATCCTCCCGCTCCCCATCCCTACAATTCCATTCCCCCGCTCCCCATCCCAACAATTCCATCCCCCCGCTCCCTCTGAAGGTCGGCTCTCCTGCCACCCCAGAGATGTACCACGGGCACTGCGCCGTGTCACCGTGTCACAGCCCTGCCACCCTGCCGTGGCAGAGCCCCCTGCTAACGAAGGGCCAGCTGCTAACGAGCACAAACGTCCGCAGGCACGGCACTGCGGTGGGACAGGCCAGGGCAGCTGCCCCTGGCACCCCTGGCACAGTGCCATGCTCTGGGAAGGATGGCAGGGCACCTGCACTGCTAATTGCTGCAGCCCTGCTAATTGCTGCAGCTCAGCTATTTCCTGCAGCAGGTTCATGGCAGGGTTGCCCCTGCCCTCACTAAACAGCCCAGGCAGCAAGAAGGGGGGAGCTGAGGGTGCTGGCAATGCCACCCCACATTCCCAGCAGGAGCAGAGCGGCCCCAGCAGACAAACACCCATCAGCACAGCCCTGTGCCCGTGCCCACCGGGTGCCAGGAGCAGATCCCAAATTTGGTGCTCCCTGGGCACCCTGAGGAGCCCTTGCCCTTCCCAGCACTGGTATTCCCGTCCCCTCCCACGCTCAGACACCCTGAGAAATATTTCCCCCCATCTCCTCTTACCACCCCCTCACATGTACACCCTGAAAAGTTACCACAGAAGGTTTTTCTTTGTATAGAATATTTATTTTGAAGCTCTATTTTAATAGTATTTATTTTAGAAAGTCTACTATTGTAAGAGTTCTTCTGTTTGTGAAGAAAAACAAGTACTGATGAATGTACTGATCTAGAAATTATATATATAAATATATATTGTTAAATATATAAATGGCTGTTGTGGTTCTTTCAAAAAAAAAATCCCAAGAACGCTTATAGCAATTATTCTAAAAATACAAGCAGAGAGTAGCCCAGAATTGGTTATTTGATGCTCTCCAGCCCTGCCAAGGAACTCAGGGTGATGCTGGGGTTGCCCTGCCCCACAGCCTGGCACATCAGGGGCTCATCAGTCAATTACCCTCAAATCCCCTGCAGTGGGAAGAGCCAGCACCTCAGTGAGGAGTGCCCTGCTCTGTGAACTTGTAGGAGCAATCCTCTCCTTCCCTGCACCCTAAAATATTCCAGCCTGGGAGTCAGGCTGCTCCTTGCACGGGGCTGAGCCCCCAGGGTGACAGGGGGAGCGACTCTGAGCCCCCAGGGTGACAGGGGGAGCGACTCTGAGCCCCCAGGGTGACAGGGGGAGCGACTCTGAGCCCCCAGGGTGACAGGGGGAGCGACTCTGAGCCCCCAGGGTGACAGGGGGAGCGACTCTGAGCCCCCAGGGTGACAGGGGGTCAGCTCTGAAGGGAGCCCACCTCAAGGTCAGCAGCCCCACCTCACACAGGGGTTGTGCCAGCCCGTCCCACGGAGCTCCTCAGCACTTCAGACCCACTTCCAGCCCTCCTGCTTCTCCTTTCCAGGGGCACAGCTGTTCTGCCCACACCAGAGCAGCCCCAGCAGGGCCACGGGTGGGCACAGATCCTCCTCCAGCCCACCCCGAGGTGCCCCCCAGACATGGGGGCAGCCAGAGCTCTCCCAACTCCTTGGAAAAGGACAAGAAGCTACCAAGGACCAACTCCCTGGGTCCCTGCTCACCCTGCACAGCCCCTGAGCCACATCCTGGGCTCCCACCCACCAGCACCCACCACCCTTCCTGCCCCCAGCTCCTCATGTGTCACCAGCAGCACTCTGGACTGCTAAAAATACAAGATCCGGCTTATTTTTCACCATTCCTGTTATTTATTTGCACACACTGTGGAGCTGTGACTCACTGGAAGCTGTGCCATGTTTTGTGTCATCACAGAGGTAACCCGAGTGTGTTACCTGGCCTGGAATAATATTATTGAAACAATAATGTTGAATTAGTGAATGGATCAGATAAAGAGACAATAACTACACTGTGCAGACCACGACATCAGACGCCAAAAAAATCTGCAACAAGGAAAAGATACTGAATTTGTTATGCTGGGGGTGGGTTTTCTTTTTTACCAAACAGGCTGAGCCAGGATGTATAAATTTAAATCAGAGTTTGGCAACACCAACTGATGTCTTGCACATAAAGCTTTAAAAATACCAACACGACACTCGCGTCTCTCTGCTGGAAGAGAACCAGAGCACTCTGCTTGATTTGAGCAGTAGATGTTAAAGCAATGTTTTATAAATCTATCAGAATTAGCAGCTTTTTAAAAATCCTTTTTTACATCGTTTTCAGTTATTGCATCTCAAAGGAAACCAACTCCAATTCCACAAGCATAGGCTATGGAATGGTGAAGAGATGCACAGAGCTAAGAGTAAAGGAGACTTCCCAGGCCCTAGAGCCAGCCCAGCTCCTGGATATCAGACCTGAAAGGGAATTTCTAGAGAATCAAAGCACCCTAAAAATACCCTAAATCAATGTATTAATTCTGAGAGAATGGGCTGAAACTTACAGAACTAAGTGACCAGATTGAGCAAGTTGCATCCCTTGATCCCTTTCAACCCAAACCATTCTGGGATTCTACAAAACGAGATAAAAACCTAATTTTTAATTCCTTTTAAAACTGTTTTTCTAAAATATATACTTAATAAACACAATGAGATTTTCCCAAAAGTCTAAATGTTGCAGGCAGGTAAAATGTTATAAAAGAAAAGGCCTTATGAAATCAGGCCTTGCTCTGCTAGTCCATCACTTCTCCTGGTCACAGACAACTTGTAAATTCCCATATGAAACAATCTTGGGTATGAAAAATCTGTGAACGCAACAACCTATTCCTTGGGGAGAAAAATAGGGGCACCTGTATAAACAATAGGACTTGTCCCAAGAGAATCCACAAAGGAAGAATGTAAACACCTGAACCTGAGCACGTACACACAAATCACCTCCTGACCAATAAATGAAGTAGTAGGAAAACTATTAGCCCGCTGGTGGTGCACACAAGGTCTGTGAAAACTGTACCAAAGGAGAGATGTGAATAAAGAACTGGCTTTTGTGCATGAAGGCATGGAGTCCCAGGTGGCTTATTCCAGCACGGGCGGAACCTGACGCGATCTGCGGAAGGCAACGGCCGAGCTTGGCTCATGGGACTGGGATACAGAACGTGCAGAGCCACAAAAACACGGCCACAGCCCCGGGGAGGGGAAGAAACAGGGAAAAACAGCAACCCAACTTTGTGAGAGACACAAAGTGCCAACACAACCATCAGTACAACCATCGGTGCAACCATCGGCAGCTTCGCTGGCCGCGGGGAAACAAAACTCCGACGCCACGGAAACAAAACTCAGACTCAAGTGGGGAAGACACAAACCTGTCCCAGGTCAGCCACACACGGACTCACAGAAGTGAGCACATCTCCTGGGATCGTGCACAGCTGGTGAGGCCCACGGCCAGCTCGGTGCCACGACGGCTCCACGTGGCTTCCACCACCGCCACTGCCAGTGGTCACTGCAGAGCTCTGGCTCTCTAGCTCTGGGAGAGCACAGCAAGGAGCTGCTGCAGCACGGGGGGCTGCACAGCTCCCACAGCACCATTTCCATAAATAAAGGATACAGAACGTGCAGAGCCACAAAAACACGGCCACAGCCCCGGGGAGGGGAAGAAACAGGGAAAAACAGCAACCCAACTTTGTGAGAGACACAAAGTGCCAACACAACCATCAGTACAACCATCGGTGCAACCATCGGCAGCTTCGCTGGCCGCGGGGAAACAAAACTCCGGCGCCGTGGAAACAAAACTCAAACTCAAGTGGGGAAGACACCAACCTGTCCCAGGTCAGCCACACACGGCGTGGGACTCACAGAAGTGAGCACATCTCCTGGGATCGTGCACAGCTGGTGAGGCCCACGGCCAGCTCGGTGCCACGACGGCTCCACGTGGCTTCCACCACCGCCACTGCCAGTGGTCACTGCAGAGCTCTGGCTCTCTAGCTCTGGGAGAGCACAGCAAGGAGCTGCTGCAGCACGGGGGGCTGCACAGCTCCCACAGCACCATTTCCCATAAATAAATCATTTCTCTCACTGGGATTTGTGGAGTGGGAAGGGGGTGAGGGAGGCTGAGCCCCATTCCTGGCCAGACACAGAGCTGGCTCCTCGCAGGGCTCCACGCCAGCACAGCACCCAGGGATGAAGTTTGGCCCCACTGTGAGTGGCAGACAAATGGCCAGGACAGAGATAAATTGCCTTTGCACTTTGTTTTACTTCCTCCCCATAACAACCTCCCGTGGGAGCACTGAATCCCTGGGCTCCCTTTCCAGCCCCTGCTGAGCACCATAAAACTTCAGGGATGTCCTCAGAGGGGTTCCCACACAGGACAAACTTCCCTTTCCATGGCAAGGAGGAATTGGCACCAGAGGTCAAGGCAAAGCCTTTCAGCAGGGTCTCAGCCTCCTCTTGCACCAACACAGCCTCCACAGGCTTTGGGACAGAGGCCACCCCAAACACACCCCGGGGGCCAAGATGGACACCAGGTTTTGAATTTCACAGAGGTTTCACAGAAGTTTCTGACCACACTCAGGTCACCAGAGCCCATCACAGCCCTGGACAGCCAGCCCTGGATGACTAAGACACAACAAGGCTTCTGCTGCTGCAAAAAGTAAGTAAATGTCCAGTAAAAAACAACCAGCAAGCTGAGAAACATCAGCCAAAGGTGTGGCTGGAGGAGAAACTCAAAAGGTGTTTATAAAAACAAATAAATAAACAGAAACCAAATTACAAACCTTTGTGTCTCCCTGGTGTAAACAGCTGCATTTATTTCACATGAGCCCAGCAGCCCCCCAGCAGCAGCCTGGGCTGGACGAGGGCTCAGGACCAGAGTTCAACCCCACCACAGCCTGTTAAATCCAGAAAGGAGCCAAGAACCAGCCAGGATTTCAAGTTTAAGGTTTCTGATCACTCTGCCAGGCTCCTGCCACACCAGCCAGGGA